TGACCATGATTAGTGCTCGAATCACTCTTTCATTTATTGTTCTAACATACAGTTAGTAGGACTGTGTGTCATAAAGAGTATATTACAGCCGAAATATTATCTGATTAAATAAGATATTTTACCACCCCCAACGGGGAGGTCAATAAACATGTTAAAGCATCAGAAATATAAACTCCCAGCTGGCTGGGAATTTAAAATAATAAAATCACAACAACGGTCAGAGACCCAGATTGATGAATGAAAGAATTTGCATGGCCAGAATAAATAGATCTGGGGAGACTGGACACCCTTGTCTAAGACCTCTCTTCAAATAAAATCTTTTGGAGCAGCCATGTGACAATTTTACACATGCATTACAATTCCTATATAACATCTGACAACTTTAATTCAGACTTGTCCGTATCTGAATACTTCTAATACTTTAAACAAAAATGTATGTTCAATTGTGTCACAGGCTTTAAAAAAAATCTAGAAATAAAATGAGCCCATCCCCCTCTATTAAATCTGAATAACCTAGCAATATAAGTCTGATCTTATTAGTTATATGTCTACCTGGTATGAATCCAGACTGAGTTTCATTGACCACTTCTTCAAGAGTATTCTTCATTTTTGTAGCAATAAAACCTGCAAACATTTTTAAGTCATTTTGTAGTAATGCAATTGGTCTCCAGTTATCCAGAAGAGGTTTGTCTTTTTGTGGTTTAGGGATCAATAGAATCAGACATTGGGTCATTGTTGGTGGGAGTGATCCAGAATTCAAACTTTCAAGATAAACTTGGTGTAAAAATGGTGATAGCTGCTCTGAGAACTTTCTATAAAAGTCTGCATTTAGGCCATCAGTCCCCGGTGATTTATTTAATTCTAATGTATTGATGGAGTTTCGGATGTCTTCAAATGAGATCAAGGAATCACATTGTTCTTTATTATTTTCACTCATTTGTTGCATTTTATTCAGAGCGTTAATAAATTGCGTGATTGTTTTATCAGAACATTTTGATTAATAATGTTCTTGGAAAAAAGTTTCGCAATAAGAAGAGATTTGAAATTAACGGATGTTATTGATTTGAAGTTTCAAAATACTGTTAGATGTTTGGTGTTTTTTTTCTAATCTAAAAAAAACATTTTCTTCTAACCATTTTTTTCTTGATCTGATGTACGCCCCTTTAGCTTTGGAAATGTAAATATTGTCTAGGTTCAGCTGTAAATGGTTTAATCTAATCTTTTGGTCTATATTTTCTGGCAGAACATTGTTCAATAAGATAGATTCGAAGCTCATATTTTAGGAGTTACCAACTTTAACTAAATTCCTTCTGACTTTGAGTGTATTCCAATAGTTTGTAACTGTTTAAGATTTTCTTCTACTGTTTTATTTTCTAACAGTGAAGGGTTGAGCTTCCAGTAAGCTGTAATTTTATTTTTTTCTGTACTAGTTTCATTTAGTTTTTTCAATTAAAATAAGTTTATGGTCTGATAAAGTGGCCGGAAGAATCTCTGACTTAATATCATCAGCTATTAAATCAGATACCAGCTAGAAATCAATTCTTGATTTAAAGGAGCCAGTTTTGTTTTTCCACGTAAATTCAATTTTGGAGCTATTTTTTAGTCTCCATACATCAGTCAGGCCAAAGGTTGATATTAAGGTTTCTAGAACTGTGTTTGAATTTGTATTAGCCTTTAGAGGAAATCTATCTAAAGCATCATTAAGAGTCAAATTGATAATAATAGCCGATAATAATATTCATATTGTGATATTCTCCAAATACGTTATTCACCCTATTACTTAATCTATCATAAAGTTGCATATTTTCTGCTTTGGTATTGTACCCATATATATAGAACCCAACAAAAAAATCTTAATTTATTGATACAACTAATAAAACAAAAAGTCCATATGTATCTAAGAGTTAACACAATACATCCACACTGAAGTTTTTTCCGTAATATTGCCACCCCTGCTAATTGAGTAGTGCAGAATTTGCAGAATTTTTGTATCATCTGCAGTTGAGCGAGTTTCTTGAATAAAACAGAAATCCGCTTTAGAATTCTTAATGTATAAAAAAGTTGTCTTTCTTTTAGTTTTGTTCCTTAACCCTCGAGCATTGAGTGAAATAACTTAAAAAAAGAAATGCTACTAAGAGATGTAGCTTCTAAACCTGAAAATTGAGTTACAGGAATATCTAAAAAAGTCTCCCAACAGAGAAATTACAATAAACAAAACTTTTGAATCTCAAGATGACTTTTAATCATCAGAAGGTTCAACTTCTTTCCTCTTTCCTCCTTTGTCAATAAAAAAAGGCTCTGGGACCGACGTCGAAGGCTGTCTTCCCTTCTTCACTTGCTTTTTTCACCTGCGGCCAGAGCATGTTTCTTCTCTGACGATCCTCTGGGGAGAATACCTCCTTGAAGCGAAGGTTGTTTGATTTCAGAAAAGATGACTGCTTGGCCGCCTTCCATACCGCATCCCTGCAGTGTCTCATGGAGAACTGGATCATCACTTCTCGAGGACGTCCCGTGCTTGTAACGCCACCCAGCCGGTGTGCGCTGTCAATGACGTCCAGTAGTTTTTCTTTGCATTCTGGTCTTCTGGCAAATGGAAATAACCTTGCTACAAACATCTTCTCCTTTTTCTTCATTTACCCTTGAAAGTCTCAAGTCCGATCTTCTTTTATAACGTGAAAGTTCGAGCAGCTTATTTTCCATTAGCAACACCCTTTTTTCTGTTTTTTCAACTCTCCTGATGGTTTCTGTCATCGTTTCTTGCATTTCTTTCATTTCTTCATGGATATAATCCACCGAATCTTTAAGATTATTTATGCTTGCTTGAAGACCGTCCGCCCTCTTATTTATTGTCAACTTTAAAGTTGCTATGATGTTTTCAGCGAAGTCGTGGTCGTCCAATGATTTTTGACTTTTAGCCGACATCTTTGTTGGTGTATTTTCAGGACTTCTTTTTTTAAAGAAATTATAAGCACAATAGTTAATGAAGGTCTCAGAATAAATGCTTCCTTGCGTTAAAGCACCAATAACAGCTCCCAATCAAGGGGCACCCCTTTTTCATCATTCTGCTTCATTCTATCTCTATTCTCCCACTCTGCAGAATCTGTTAGTTCAATCTCTAACGTTCTGCTCTTTCTGCTTTT